AAATTGACTATGTGCCAGAGTTCAGACTTCAGATATGGACACAAGGATTTCCACCATTTGACTATATTAATCCGAGGACAGATGGAATGCTTTAGAACAGTATTCGACACTGCTGCATGTACACATGGACTGGTTTTGATTCTTACATGTAGTAGAGAGAAAAGCACAGTGGAGCGAAGAATCATTAGGCACTATCGGTAATTTTGTGACTGTGAAGTGTTCAGGGCAATTATACAAGAGAATAATCAACGAATGTGGAACACCAGTCTTGTACTGATGTGACACCCTGGTATATTGTAGAAAGAGACATATTTTAATTGTATAACCCAGCTTCCCAAACATTTACTGACTTGACATTTGTTAGTGGAACGTATTGGTCAGATCATTAGACTTCCTCCCTGCATTGTCCCCATTTTGGACTTTTAGAACCCACCCCACTGCACACTGACTGAGTATTGCATTGAGCTAACAAAAATCCAAGCAGGTGAATAGTGTTTTCAAGTGAAGGAGGGCTGCATTATGTCATTTTCTCATTTATATTATGTGAAAAACAGTCACCTCAGAGTACAGCTTTAAATTAAGAAGACTGCTATGACAGATTCAGGTGTATAGGTTCCCCTCTCCCCCAGTCCTTGGTAACTGTGATCCTGAGCAATCAATTTCCTTTCTCTATCTTAATTTGCCCCTTATACATCATATTCAAGATTTTATCTGGACAGGGGCTAGGTGGCTCAGTGGATAAACCTCTGCCTTTTCACCTCTGGGATCATGGTTCAAGTCAAATCCTGATGAAATGCGTTTGATCGTCCTAATCTAGTTCTTAGTGGACAGCATTCCCATTATCTTTAAAAGGGTCAGAGCCAAGGCCATTGGGAAGAGTGCATTGTGCTATATCTTGTCTGTTGATTAATACATTTTCAGTGATGCCAGTTCCTTAACTTCATGAGCACACATATTCACACAAAAAAGCTGAATAAAGGTCCCTAGTGGATTAAACTTCTCTCTCTTTCCCTCTCACACTCACAAATCCTTTTAGGTTTCCCTGGAAATATTTAAAAAAATCAGCAATTGCTGATCATTTTGAAAAGATTAATACCTGCATTAAGAAAAAAAATCTCAAATTAATTAGCTCAATAATTACTTTAAATCCTTGTTTGACATATGGAGAACACAATCATGAGAATTTATAACTAGAACCATTTTTATAACACATTCTAGTTCTCTCCTCTTATGTACGTTAGTTAATCTAAAAAGACTTTTGGATCGAAGGGATTAAGCCCCAAGAAAGATATCTTTTGTTGTATACAAGACAGGAGGCCAGATAGCTAGATGAAGTACTTGTTATAGGAATTTATTCTCCATTCTCTGGAAACTGTTATTTGGGATCTGCTGGAAGAAGTGGGTATTTGACAGTCGATGTGAACAAAACAAAACAAAAACAACACAGCCATAGCCTTCATTTTGTCTTATCCCATCAAAAAGGTACAGTAAGAAGAAATATATAAACATTTCCCTTTCATGGTGTCTGATGGCCAAAGGTTATTGGGCTTTTCCTTGACCTAGAAAAGGGAGTCAGCAGATCTGCTGCCACAGACTGCTGCATGAAATATGTGAAAGCATTTGAAAAGTGGCAGGGCAGAAATAATGTTACGTCACCTGGAAATCCTAAAATCAGCTGGGGCCTGTTTTGGACCCAAACACAAATGCTGGGAAGAACAATTCCGTATGAATCATTCAACTGGCCTAGGATCACCAGACTGCATTGCACTCTGGTCCTATCCCTACCTGCCCCTAGCGTGCCCCTGATGTATCTGTGATGCAGGAAGTAGACAGTGTAAAGGCAGCCAAGGATTCCCCCAAGCTGCAGAGGTTTTCAGCTGTCTGCCTACGGCAGCCTTAAATCTCCTTTGTGCCTCTGGATGACTTATCTCTAGGAAGGATTGAGTCCTAGGTCCCAAAAGAACAGAGTAGACAGAGGAAGAAGCACAGACAGTCTTTTCATGAAGATGCAGCAAGAAAGGAGGACAAATGTTATACCCATATAGTCATAACACAGTTTCTACAAGCAGTACACGAGATAGCTCAACGACATCAACAAAAGCCTGCTCTGCTCCCATTGAAGTCAATGGCCAAACTATCCTCTAGCTGCAGTGGAAGCAGGATCCGCCTCAAAGCTGTTAGGATAATGAGTTGATTGAAAACTCCTATAGTGCAGTAATGGTCAAATTCATGAGGACAAAATATGATTTTCCTGCTGATATAGTTCATGAATATAGTTTATGTGAGATATATGAATATATGAACCATTTTTCATTTTTGAGAGTGGTTAAAGATTATAAAATATTTTTAACGATTTAATCATTCTCCTACAGTCATTAATAGTTTTTACATTCCTGCTATATATTTATTTAATTGGCTACTGAACTGACAGCATTTAATTAATGGTTCCTTTGCACAAATCAATAACAATTATGATTTTTTCTGGTTACATAATTAATTATCCTTGAATTGTTTTTCTTTCCAACGTTTTTCAAGTTAACAGGAAATTCTTGAACATGAGCTATCTTGTAGCAAATAATTAGTTATATCCTGAATTAGTTAGTACAAATTATTTTAAGTAGTTTGAAAATATATGGGAAAAGTGTGGATTTATTTAAAAAACTCTGAATTGTGACATTCACCCGAAGATATGATAATATGATATTGTTTATGCCTATCATTGTAAAACTGGCAAATCCAAATGTACAGCTAAGGTGGCTGACTTTTCCACACATAATAGTGCAATGCCAGGAATGTTGGACCTGATTGTAGATCCTGCTCCAGTGGTGCAGAGAGGTCATGAAACTGGCTTAATGAGCCAGCTGAGGAATTCCCCCACAGTGTAAGCCCTCTGCTCTTTGGGTGCATTGGGAGCATAACCAGAAAGGGAGAGTGGCCGGAACACCACAGAACTCTAACAATCCTCAGCTAGTGTAGTGTCCCCTGGGAGGCACTTACTTGCTGGCACAAGTTAGAATAGCCCTGAGGCGTCTCAGACTTGTCCTTGGAGCTGAACTGGTCCCAGGCCAGCCTCTGGATCAGGAGGACATACAGGTATTGTACAGGAGAACTTGGCTGGACCTGAGGATCAGTGTTTCTAAGCTCTTCTATCTCAAAGATACTACTTTTAGATGCCCACTTAAACTCACTATGTTTGGGAATTAATGCGACAATCAGAGCCAAGTTCAGCCTCATGTGACTCATGCATTCCATCCTTCCCATTACTTTCTTTGTAACACTCACCACTGTAGCACATAGGCACTGTAGCTCCATTGTAGTCAATGGAGTTATACCAGAGTTGAACTGGGTCCTTGAAGTACATTACAACGCTAAGGTAGATTTCACTTGATGTTCTATGATAATATTGCATTAGTTAGAGATTTGACATGAATTTTCTCTTTTCTATCTTACTACATACCTTATTAAAGTTGCTATCTGCACTGATCTTTTTAAAACAGAATGATATAGAGGGGTCTTCACTTACTCATTGTACATGCCATTTTGTGGAGGAAACAGGAACAGTTGCTGAAGTTTGGAAAATATTAGACCTGAAATATTTCAGACTGGAAGCGACAGTATTTCTGCTGAACTGATAATTTGTATCTGTTTTAGATTTTTCATAAACATGATAACCATTTCTACATCTATCTTAAGAATTCTTTTTGTTGATTAAAGTGTAAAAAAGACGGAATAACTGTGTATGGACAATGATAAAGTAGGCTGTTTATAATAAATATTTGTCATGTCTTGTCACATCTGCACAAATTCCACTGTTACTGAAGAGACACCACACTGATAAAAAAGAGCTCAGAAAATCAATGGATCTTGAGCTAAAGCAGTTGCTAAACACACAGAAAACATCTTTATCCAACAGCCATAGTGCTGTGAAAATTCCCAAGCCTTGCATCGGTATAGCTAAGGAAAATTTAATCTTCCCAAATACTCATCAGGGCACTCCATCCTGCAGACCTGACAGCCCCACTTATAATTAATTATACAATTTCGATGGGAATATCGACTAAACAAAGCTATAAATCATAGAAAAAGTCAATAGGCATGGACACATTCAATCATGTCCCGACCAATGATTACTACTCTTAAAATACAATAATTATTTTCAGGAGCCAGCTTGAATTAAATTTCTGTCAGGCTGGTACAAGACCGCTGGTTGATGAAGGATGCGATGGATTTTTTTGGTTGAATTCGGTATAGGAACATTTATCCTTTTAGATAGGTAGTTTGTTTTTAGTGATCATGGTGCTGCGTGTTTAACTAGACCATGAAGATTAGATTATCTCCAATGGCTCATTATATCGTTTATCTTTTTCCTTCCATGCTTGATCTGGAAGATTTCCTGCTTCTTGGTGTGTGAACGAAATGGCAGCTGATTTTGAAATGTAATATGTTAAAGTATCATGTCTGCATATGAGTTTGCATACAAGTATGTGTGTATGGGCATGTGGTTCATGTATGGGAAATCGTCCAAACTGTCATTTGAAATGCCACTGGTATAGTATGAATTGCAATAAAGAGGAGTGACTTTTTTCAGCAGATAAAGCTGTACTGAAAGAAGAATAAAATTATAAGCTTTCAAGTTGATATTAAAAAAGTTAAGAGAAATAAAACAGATAAATGTAGAGGGACAAGTTCTCATTTCTCTTATTTGTCAAATGGAATTGGAAATGGGACGGAATTTTTAGTGAGATAATATAAAGAAAGGCTCTGTCAAAGCATAGATTGGACCAAATGTTTCAAAACGAGAAAAATATTGATATGTGAAGATAGTCAATATCAATTTTCCATCCACCATAATATATTTAGACCCCAAAAAAGATAACTTACCATGTTTTTTTGAGCTATTTTGTCCAAGTGGGTCCCACTTCCAATCTCATGTGCCCACCATAAATGTAGTAATGTAAAAAACTACTTATTTTTAAAATGTTGCATAGCCACAAACTTACCGCAGTGCCATTGTTGTCTCTAAAAACATCTTGATTAAAATAGTCAAAGAGCTTCTTTTCTAACTGTAACATAACCTGAGAAAGTAAAGCAAAAAAAAAAAAAAAATACAGGGAAGAACTTCTGGCCTAAGTGGTCATATGAGTTAGGCAGTCAGTCATTCTCAACTATGTAACTTCAGCCCTTTAAAAATCAAGTAAATTTCTAGATAGCTAAATCTCTCTCCTTATCAATCAGTCCATTTGGTTCACTGGCAAACAGCTAACAAGATTAAACAAACAGTTCTGAAGAGTGTGGACATCTATATTCTCCCCCTAAATGATGATGTGTAAGTCTAATTTTTGCAGGGCTACGTAAAGTGCCTCTCAGGAAAGAATACAACCTACCAAAAACTCACTTGCATCACAAATCATACAATAATTCACACCTAAGAGCCCAATCTTGCAAGATGATGCTCATCACCCTAAAGGATCAGGTGCTAAGTTATCTTAGCCTACATTTTGTAACTAAATTTTTGGAGCTAAATTCATCCCTGATAAGTGACTTCCAGAAATTACAGCCAGAGATAAATTTTGCCTTTGATGTTTGCAAATCTGAAAAGGAGATATTCAACAATCTTCTCTGATATGTCTGTATTCGGTTACATACCTTTCGGTCATTATCAGATTCACGGAATATTAGCTTGACTACTTCATTGGTGTCAGCTGCTCGGATAGTCTGCATTGTAGCCTTTGTACAAAGTGTCTAATAAAAAAGAAAGCAAGAGAGAGATAGTTTTATCAGAAAGATGAACCCCCATTTTGTAGCCTTCTTAATCAATAAACATTAAGGGCCTTGATCCAATGCTCAGTGAAAAGTGTGTTTTTGCTGAAAGTCAATTTTAAATACAAAACACAATTAATTTAATGTATCTCCATTCACTAAAAATCTAACTAATGAGCTACATTAATGTTCTGACACAAACTGACAAAACCAAGAGAATTCTTTCTTAAAGCAAACATTAACTTCTTAACTCATTGTACTGTGCATTTTTACTTTAAAAGGTTTGACCGTATTACATGATCCCACTTCAAACATTACTTGTGACCATCCTCAACAGCCATTCCTGCAGCCCCCAAATTTTGTTTTTTCACATACCACTTCCTTAAAAAATTGTAAAGTGAATTGATGGAACTTCAAGCTCATATACAAACAGTAATACATGTAGCAATTTAAGAACCCTGGACAATCTATTGTAAAAGTTTCATGCTCAAATGTGGTTTCAATCTATAAACATAAACCAACAAAACTTTTATAACTTTGCAATTGGCTGCAGGGGCTAAGTCTATTGGAGAAGCAAATCCTCTTGTATGACCACCCTTCTCAACAAGTGACGGCACTGTACTCCTAAATATTTTGTGGGTCTCAGGGCTTTGGGATAAAATATATTGTAATTTAACACTTATCTAGGTTCAACAGTATGAATTCCAGACAGAGTGTCAGATTTGTCTTTGATTTCTCGTCCATTTGTCTGGTTATAGACTAGCTTTAATGTTATAGAACGCTTTGTATTAATTAGCTTTAGGTATGCCTATTGTGAAAGGGACTTCTCTGTTGCATTCAATTACAGATGGAAATCTGGAGGATTCAGCAAAGCACTTAAACATATGTTTAAATTTAAGCATATGCTTAAGCCCTATTGAAGTTAAGCAAATGGGTAAGTGCTTTGATAAACAGGAACAGACTGCTGAATTTGGGCCCAGATATGATGCAGGGTTAGGAGAGCTGACGGGAAATGTCTTCTTGCATAGAGATTTATTTTGTTAGCGCTTCCTAACTGAATAGTGCACAAGACAGGAATTAACGTAAGAACAAAGAAAGTGGGGATTTACTTGCAGTGCATTTTTATTCTTTTTCATGCTGGCCAGAAAACTAGTTTTGGTTTTGCATAATATTTAATAATAAAATAAATATTTTCTGCTTCTATAGTTACTAAGGCTCCTATATCTGAGGCTCTAAAAGCATTTTACAATCCTTAGTGAATGTATTCTCATAATACCCCTGTGAGTTACAAATGTATCATTATCCCATTTTACAGATGGGGAAACTGAAGCTAAAACCAAATTCAGATGTGGGATAACATCTGCTTAAGCCACATAGGAATCTGATATGAACAGGATTTCACCAATATCAGAACAGAATTTGCCTCGTATTATCTTGGCCAAAGTCACCTGGAAAGTCTCTAGCAGAGTCTGAAATAGAATCCAGTTTATCTTTAGCCACAAAACCATCAATTCCATTTATCATCTTTACTTTTTGCTTCTTTCCTTCCTGAAAAAATACATATGTTGGACTTATTTTAGAAATGCACTGTGTATCAGAAAGACTGTAATGGGATTTTTAGCATATTTGCAAAAACACTTATTCATTTATTTTTAAGAAGATGCTGAACATCTGCAGTGACTGCTCTTCACAACAAATGTACTTCCTAACAAAAATAACCAAACACATCCTTGAATATCTAAAGATTTATTTATTTATTTTTACTCTTTATAAAGCACCTAGCACAACGAGGCCATGATCTTTGACTGGACCCTTACATACTACCATAATACTGATAAATAATAATAATAACAAGCCATAAAATTTCATTTTTAAAGGATGATGACTTCTGAGTGTATCACAAGAAAAATATAGCACAAATAAATCTGATCTTTCTCTTCAGTCCTATGAACTTAAACATTGCTAATTGATTTCCCCTTCTCATTTTGCTAAAAATATTTCCTCTTGAACTTCTTCCTCTGGATATTAATTTTTCACCCTTCATAAATGTTACTACACTAAATTATAAATCCCTGGCAAGAGGGACTCATAATGCAAATTCTGGCACAACCATTATCTAGAGCAGCACAAACACTGCTGTTGGAATATTTGAAAAACACAAATCTCACTAGAGGAAAAAAAATCTGTGCTTATAGTAACACAAAATATCCTCAAAAATGGTGTTTGTGGTCACAATTTTTCAGACCATTTTTGTTCAGTGGATCAGGCTTCTGCGAACACAGGGAAGAAGTTACAACTAAACTGGTAAAGGTCATGCTGAGAGGACGGTGAAAGAGTGGCATGACAAATCCTTCGGGGAGCTGCAGTTTTGATTTCATTTAATTTTTTAACATAGACCTAATCACTTTTTCCACACATCACCACAATTTACCTTAGATCCCATTTTGTCTCTTTTGACAAGTAATTAACATTTTGCCATCTGTGTCTGTATGCAGTTACCAATGAGGTAATCCAACAGTGAGCCATTCCCAAAGTGCACTCCCTCTGATACCAGCCATTGAAATTCAAAGCACAGATTAGCTAATCGGGTCAAGCCCAAAAAAATAGCCCTTTGGACTCATGTGTCACAAATCAGTCTGGTCGCCTTTAAACAGCGCACCAGATTAGAACAAGCACCCGAACAAACCAAAGCGGAAAACCCGCCGCTCTCTAAAGCTGGTTTCTAAAGCCCTAACAAATCGCTCCATCTTTCACTCATTTAAACTTTCCAAATGAGGGTCAATATGGTCCCCTAGCATCCAAATGCTAATGCGCTTAAGTGCGCTTAAGCAGCTTTCCGGAGTGAATGGGCCAAAGAAGGGCTCAAAAAGACAAGGCAGAGTTACTGTCACTGTCAAAAAGTCATTGTAGCCACCCCCAGAGTGGTTGCAATTCAAGAAATTCATGATTTCTGTCTCTTAAAGGCATCTGCTTGAGAACATTTTTTTTCTGAGCTGCTTTATCTCACAACTTCAGGCTGCTCTAAAAGAATAAAAATCTGATCGACTCTTGAGAACCAATAAAGAGAAAGGACCCACATACCTTATTGCTTTCAAATTTCACACACACAAAAAGTTACCTTATTTGCAAACAAAAAGTGATTGGGCAAAGGTTCATTTCTTATACAAGCTGGAGCATTCCTTTTTTCCTCTCCTTTCAATTTCTACAAAGTCGTAGTCACCCAAGCAGAAAACTTTCAGGAACATGTGCCTTTTTAGCCAAGTCTACTTATGAAGGGATTTTTTGTTGTGGTTAAAAAAATCAAAATGCTATGAAAACATGCTGCTTTTTTCAACGTTCTACGGTTCTTTAAAGGCATCTTTTTAGATGATGGGAAACCAGATAGCAAAAAGCCTCTATCCAGTTTTTTTTTTCCTTCTTTAATTTCAGGCACTTGCTTTTCTTTTGCAAGTTAAATATTGCTACAGTGCTTGCAGGAGAGTTGCCACTCAGTCTTCATCCTTTAGCTAGGATACAGACATACCTTATTCCAATTTTACTTGGATTATCCACACAGGTAGACCCTGTAGGTTCTTCAAAGTAACATATAAAAATACTTGTGACATTCATCTATATAGAATTGTAAAACACAGCTATAACTTTTCTGATGTAATCAATTTACTCAGAATTTACTGTATTTTACCACTATGCAAAGTTATAAAGTTAATTCTGTATGCCATTGCTCTGCAGTCTTCAGGAAATGAATCTTTTCATTTGCAGAATTAATGCAACCTTTAAAATTCTTCTGCTTAACTTTATAATGCAGTGCATTAAAATATTTTACAGTATTCTGCAGTGCCAAATAAAACTATTCTGTCAGCAACAAAGACACATATGCATATTGAAACATGGCAACCCTTCACTGAATATACAGAAAATACCATAAACTAGTAAATCGTACCATTTTTTCCTCATTAGTGTAACCCTCTGCTGAAAACTGCAATAGTGTTTTCTCATTTATTTTGCAAATCTATTCTCTGGTCACCTTCTAGAGTTCTATGTCAAACTCCGATATGTGATTTGTGTCTTTTATTGCATGCCTGTACTTACTTAAATTAAAAAGATTTTGAAAAAATGCTATGTCCAACACGTATGGATTCAAACTTTCCTATTATCTCTGCTTAAGAATCTAAATATGTGTATTACTTTTCCCATGTGATTTAAATAATCTTCTTAGGAAACTTTGTTTTATTACTTATTAATTCTTCTAAAATAAAATAATTGGAACATTTTCAGTGTCTTGTTATAATGAAAAAGTTCCAGCAACAACTGCAACTATAATTCATAATAAGTCTCAGTAATTTCCAAGGAACCTTCATCGGTTTAGCAAAAGTGTTTCTTTTTAGAAGTAGCAAGGCACAGAAGAGAAAAAGGGCTAAGACACTGAACCAAATAACATACCAGTAACCAAATAATCTTTTAAGATGCTAAATTTTATTTCAGTTAAATCTCTTGTAGATTTTGACAGGATGTAAGAGAGATACATAGCTCATCTCAATTAGGAAACATAAATACTTTTAGCCACTTTTCCTGAAACAGCTCTTGAAAAAAAATCTGCCTGACATTTATTGAATTAGGACAACCAAATGCTTTTTTATTTTCATAGGAGGCAAATTGTATTTGAAACAATTTGAGAGCTAGAGGACTTGCTACTTCAGGAGTACAGAAACATCTGTCTTGTTCAGGCTGTTTCTGATCTGTGAAGGTCTGATTCTGATCTCACTTATATTGGTGTACATCAGGAGTAATTTCACTGAACTCAGTGGAGTAAAAGAGATCAGATTCAGACCCTGAGTGTTTACTGGAGAAAGCCAGAGTCTGATCTAGCTTTTTTCACCAGTCAGTGATACACAATTAAAACTTTTGGATAGGAGCTTATGTTTAATCAACATGTTAGTGTTTTAATTTTTGTACACACACCATTCTAATAGAAATTTAGGGTT